CACACACACACACACACACACACACACACACACACTCCTTACTGTAATAAAAGTCCTCGGAAACAATCTGGACTGCTGAGGAGGGCAGCGCCGCAATCATACGCAGCCCGGCTCGGTCGCCATCAAGAGCTGATTAGGTTATTGAGCAAACGTGCAGAGGAGGAGGAGGGGTCGGGGAAAGGAGGGATGGGAGGCCCTCAGCTGGAGGGAGCGTCTGTACAGTCAGAAACACAGCGTGGGGAGGGGGGTGGTGTAGGTAGAAAGAAGTGAGATCGGGATTATGTGTGTGTGTGTGTGTTTGGGGTGGAGGTGGGGGTGAGGGGGGGTCAATGTAAATGTTATTGCTGTGTGAGCTCATTTGATCAAAGTCCTGGAAAGGTTAAGCGAATCCAATCTGGTTTTGTATGGCAGAGTGGAGACACAGGCGCTGGGGAAGAAACCCCCAGGACGGAGAATGGATTATCATATTGGCGCTGGAGTAGCAGGGGCCTCCGACGGACAGTTTACTCTGCCCGTAATGCGTTTAGACAGCAATTGGCCTTAATAACCTTTATTGACTTCAGTGGGTCAGTGCCAAGAATCTAATTATCAAAGTGTATCAAATTTCATTGGAGTTTAGAGTTGCACCGCTCAAAATAATTATTTTAAGGTCGGGCCGGGGCAATTAATCCCCTCTCCACTTATTTGATGGCTTTGTAAAACATTATAAATGTTATGGTTTCCTGTTGTGCACTTTACCGTAAATAATTTCAAAGAGTACTATTTTTTTTTGCTAAGTATTATTTGGAAAGCTTGCCACTCTGATGCGGGTGAGAAGAAAAAAATAAAAACAAAACAATTAATAAATAAAACGGCAGAGTATTTTTTTAAACTAGAGGCTAGAGCTGAATCCTGCTGCGGATGTTTACCAGCAGTCATTTTTCTCTTTCACCCGGCATTTTATTTGCACATTTGAACTGAGTTTTATACCCACTTTATATGCACACATGCAACCCAGATTAATTATAA